AAGAGAGAGATACCCTAATATCTCAAATACTCCAATGGATTCTGACAGCCCTTTATGGCTTCGCGAAGACTCTCAATGCCTGTTTAGGCTCAGTTCCCTTCTCTCCCGTCACTCCGAGGCCGTGGGACACCCGGCCTGACATGGTAGGGGAATCAAAAGAGCCACCTATTCATAGCGATGACACCTTTTGGTCGATGGACTCCTTACTCAGAAGAATCGGCACAAGTTGGGAGATACGAATTGTAGTATCACAACAGACTCGAGCACGAAGGGCGAGGTAATGTCAAATTTTCTAGTATTGTTATTTTCAGACATCTCCACCCTGCCCACCGCTTCATATTCAGGCCGACCGTTCACTGGCACATCTGACCGGCTTGAGAACTCTCACACTAGGAGTATAGACATATATGGTGTTATATATGTAAATAATTATGATGACAAGACGAGTTGAATTCGAGTTACTGTCTGTCCGACTGTCTTGAATAAAATTGAGATATCTTAATGAAACTTGGTACACGTGTTCCTTGGCAAAAAATGATCACGAGTTCGTAGATTGGCGTAATCGGACCACTGCCATGCTCACAAAACACCATTAATAGCTAAATAGGAGCAGGTGTCAAATTGGACGATGGTAGTGGCCCCGGCCAAATTTAAGTGAAATCACATATCTTCGGACCTACACCACCAAGTGCTAAAATAAGCGAAACGAACCACAATCACGCCTAACTCCATATACCGCTACTTTAAATAACATCTTGTATTTCACTTTCCAGTATACAAATCAAGAACCAATTAATATATCGGAATAAAAATTTGCTCGAATATTGTCATCTCAGGTCTAAAAATTCTCAAAACCGAACTATAACTATTTAAGCCCCAGATACCGTAAATGTGGACCGAAACCTATGGCTGACTTCCTACAAAATAGTAGTCTATGTGTAAGATATATCATTGAAATTGAAAATTTCTAATAATATATATCTGATAAATATAAAATTGATTGAATTTAGTCAATATTTCCTTAACCCCCATATAACTCATTGAAGGATTTTTGAACTTTCGGCTGATTTTATACCCATATATCGACCAATATGTGAGTTACTTATCTAAAATAAATTGAGTGCCTAAAATTGATAAACTTGTACGAAAACTTGACCTAGGCCCATATAACTTATATCAGCACTTTTGAACATCCGGCTGACTTTACTTCATAGATTGGTGATGGTATGTGAGGTACCTTAATGAAACCCTGAAAGCATTTTATAGTCTGTGGGATGTAGTAGTATGGATTTTGCAAAATTGATCAAATCGGTCAAAGCTACCTCCAACTCCATATACTACTTATAATGATTTTAGTTGTTCTAACAAGTGCCGGTCAGTTAGTTTATTTATAAGTATATAAAATTGCTTCAAAAATAGGTTTATCTGAGCAATGTCAAATAAATGCAATTAGGCCGTCCTTTCTATATCCCAATATAACACCATAAAAGGATTTCCATCTTTCCGCGTGTGATTGTTTAATGAAGTTAAATGGACAAGTTTTCATAAAATTATGTGATGTAGCGTTGGATTAGATTGGAATTGGTCTATACCTTGGTCTAAACCTCATATACCTAATATAATGAATTCAATCCTTGGTTGACGTTTCCACGTCAACTCAATATATTTAGCCTATTCGGTTAAGTTTATATCAGATATATCTCACTTTAGGATGATTTTAATATAATTTTGTTCACGGATGTCAAATAAATTATATTACTAATTGACCTATGACCTATAATATAATTTAATAAAATACGAATTAAATAGTAATTCGTTCACGATTTTGTCGAATAATGAATGTTGAATTCTTTCGCAAAATTTTTAATATGAAGTTTTGCCAACCTAAAGGTATTTTCCGAATTTGATCCTGCAAGTTGCAAGAGTATGAAATGTTCGGCTACACCGAACTTTGCCTTCCCAACTTGTTTTAGTCTTAAAATAGTCGGTAAGGCCAGGGAAGGTCTAAGGGGTGAGAAAATATGGAAAAATGCGAGGAAAATACTAAAACGACAATTTTATTTTACCATACAAATAGATGTTCGTCCGTTGATATTTTGGAATATTTTCTATTAACGAGTGATCCATGTAGCGGTATGTTATTTTGTTTAGTATTGTTGGCATCATGAGCGTACTATCCCAACACCATCACCTATCTTGAGACCCAGCATTCATTATTGGATAATATTCGACCGAATCCACACCACAGCACGCGGTGAAGGAAATATAGCAGCCGTAGCTGAAAGTGTAAACGAAGACCCTGGAGAGAGAAATCTTAAATTGAAAGC